CCCCAAAGCCACAACCCCCTTTCCTCCCCCAAGTCACCCACTGGGTGATGAGTCGCAGCCACTCGGGCGCATCTCCAACGGAGTCGAGAGCTGACGCCGTCCTAGCGGCCTCACCGCGGGCCCGCCGCGCCTCCTCCTCCTGCCGCTGCATGTCCTCCTCGGCCAGCCGCCGCTGCTCTTGCTCCTTGGCGAGGGTGATGGGTATCAGACGGACCTTGAGGTCGCCGGGGATGCTGCGTCGCGGCGGCGAGGCGAAGGGCGCGGAGAGGCGCAGCGCCGCCGTCGCAGCGGCGGCGGTGGCGGAAGGACCGCCGCCGCCGCCGCCGCCGGCGGCGGAAGGGCTGCCCGGCGGAGCAGCGCCGCCACCGCCGCCGCCGCCGTTGCCGTTCACGGCTGCGCCCAAGGTATTGGCGGCCGTTTGAATCCTGTTTAGGTCCAAAAGAGGTAATAGGGAAGATTTCGGTTAAAAACGAAATTCGTACATTCCAGGACGCGAGTACGGCATGGTACCCAGAAATCCGCTCACTTATTATTTGGGAATATTCGGTCTTGCACACTTTCTCTCAGGCCCCTACACAACCCAAAACCACAACGAGCCTTATCTTCGTATTCAGTCTGTACGGATATGCCGTACATGCCGTACATGCAGTGGACGAAACGCGGTAGACTTAAGTACCAAGTGTCAATCGTTCGAAGCTGTTTCCTTGTTATCATTGTTAATGACGTGGCACACAGGGGGGGCCTTACCAGCTGCCAAGGCACTAGAAGCGCCATCAGCCCACCCCTCAGACCGCACCTCTTCTCTAGAAGCTTCCTCGCCCGCGGTTGCTTGGCCATCGTACCGCTGTACAACCCCGCCAAAATGCTCTCCAAGCCCTGAAGAATACCGCGAAAAGAACAAACCGGGGTTCGAACCGGTGTGGGAGCTGAAAACCTCACATAATATATTTTAAGCAGAAGAAGCTAAAGTTAGTTACAAGTTACAAGTTCCGCACACAAGTGCGGGTGTGTCCGTAAAAGCCGGGGGCCCCGTTATTGGTATTGATGCGGGTACGCGGGAGGTCATCATCCTCCTCCCTCCTCGTTAGCGTCAGGGCGAAGGAGCGTCGTGCTGAAGCGCGACGTGCCTGGCCTCCCAAACTTCCGAGAGGTACCTGGCCAATGCCAGGGGTGGCGCCTCAGTCATAATGGTGCGCATGCTGCGCCCCTTAAGGACTAGATTACCATCATACTTAGCCCGTATGCTCATGTAAGCGGGACATTCTTCGAAAACGCCCCTTAAGGACTAAAAAAAAGGAGAAGGAGATGGAGCAGCAGCAGAGTTATATCCCATAACCCAAGTCGGGTTTATGTCGCGGAATACCCGGGGGCAGGACTCAGTTTAACCAAACACCATATATCTGATGTGTGAAACAGGGGGGTGTATCTTCGCCCGTGGCAGCTACCCTGCCAAACCCTTATATACATATACATACATGCATGCCTACATACAATACATATACCAGCCAAAATGATGGCCATGTGGCCGATACGACGCACACACACGTACACACCCCCCTCACCGTCGCATCTAGATGGTTGTCTTGTAGGTTAAGATGCGTGATGGTTACGTTGGCCGACAGCGCGTGCCTCAGCGCAGCCGCCCCCTGGCGCCCCAAGTGGCAGTGCGACATGTTGGCTTCGGAGGAGGATAGCTGCTGGATGACCTGCGCGTGCGTGTGTGTGTATGTGTGTATGGGCGTGTGTACGGAAAGGGGGGAAAGGGGAAAGTGAGGGGAAAGGGCCCGGGGGAAGGGTTGCCGGGTTGGGTGGAAGGGGTGGAAGCGCCGTGTGTGTGTATGTACATATGTTTACCAAACCTGATCCAGGAAAAGGCGACTAAGAGCAGGAGTACGCCGTACACTACACGCGTCCTGCCTTAACCCAAGCCAGCCAGGCCCACTAAGCTGCCGGTACACACACATACACATACACACATACATACACACACATACACACATACATACACACACATACACACATACATACACACATACGTAAACACATACATACACACATACATACACACATACATACACACATACATACACACATACCGACTTGTGCTGTGTGCTCCCGACCCTTGCGCTGTGTTTAGGCTTCGGCCCCCGGCTCTCGCGGCCCACAGTGTAATCTAAGTCATACACACATACACACATACATACACATACATACACATACATACACATACATACACATACATACACATACATACACATACATACACATACATACACATACATACACATACATACACATACATACACACATACACACATACACACATACATACACACATACACACGCACCTGCGTGCTTGGAGTTACACCCAACTCGTGGCACTTGAGGACGTAAATGTCTGTCGTACAAAAGGACGTTGGGGTCGGGTTTATGAATGGCCCCCCGTCCGTCCGTCCCGGGTGTGTGTGCGTGTGTGTGTGCGTAAGTGTGTTTGTGTGTGTGTTTGTGTGTGTGTGTCTGTGTGTATGTGTGTGTGTGTTTTGTTTGTTACAGTGGGCTCGTGACTGACTCATGGACAACAGCCATGCGTGTACGGGTGACTCACTGTCATGGCGAGTGACACACGATCCCATGTATTTATTCACTCATCGCACATTGCCGTCGTGCTCCGTCCTGAAGGCTTCCGTACCTTTCCAAACAACCGAAACTACAAACATGAACAGCCAGATCCAGGTTACTACCGCTTCCTGTGTTTTTTTAACACGCAATCAGCCAAATTGCTTCTGCTCGGGTTTGAACCGTGATTACGTGCCTTCATCTCTCACTCCCATCGCCCTCTCATCCCCCGGCACCATCCCCTACGTCCCTCATCATCTTCTTCCACTCAAAGACATATACATACAGACGTACACATATAGACTTACTTGTCCCTTGGTGCTCCTCTCGTCCTTTGACGTACAGCTCGTCCACCCCGTGAATGAGGCCGTCCCAACCGCCACCGGTCTCGTCCCGATGAAGCTTCCTAATGGTTGAAACCCAATTTGTAAGGAACGGCATCCTGTCGTACAGCCGTTCAATCCCAGCCTGGAGGGTGAGGGCACGGGTTTGGGGGTAAGGACTGGAGAATACGGCAACGGCTTTTGGTAGAAGGGAGGAAGATGGCGCTGTGTTTTCCTGCACGGTTTGGGAGGCTCAATCCCGACCCAAGCCCCCTCCCTCTCCCTTCCCAACCCCATCCGCTCCCTTCCAAGCTCCATCTGGCGTGCCGTACATTGCTGTACTGTCGTACAATTGCGTTCGTACCTGTAGCTGCTTCCAGTGGAGGTTCTGAATGGGAACCTTGAAATCCGCGCCAAAATGGCGCGGCGGCGGCGTCGACAACTGCGGCGCCTCTCCGGACAGCGACGTCTTCGGAGTAACGCCGGCTGAGTGTGCTCCAGTCGCTCCGGAACCGCCGCCGCCCTCGCCGTCGCCGTGTTCCACCGCGCCGCGCTCCGTTCCGTCGCCGCCAGCCCCCCCGTCGCCGCCCTCCACCGGCGGCATGTTGAGTGCCATGAGCGCCAGCCGCCGCGGTACGAACTGCTGTACGGCAAATTCGATGGCGGCGGTACGGCGCGCCTCCTCCATCTCCTTGGCCGCCGCCGCTGGGTTGGCGGCGACGATGCGGCGTCGCCGCCACTCGTCCTCAAGCTGCTGCCGCCGCTGCTGTACAATCTCGTCCGTGGCGGCGAGGTGCCGTTCCAGCTCAGCTTCCATTAAAGGGTCACGCTCCACCATCGTAACGGCGCCTATCGCGCCGCGCTGCAACGCCGTCACCGCCGCCACAGCAGCGGCGCCGTTGCGGTTGCGCCCCGGCGCGATGGATGCGGCGCGGTTGAGGGCGCCGCCGCTGGCGGCGGTGGCGGCGGCATCTTCGCCGCCGCTGCTGTCGGCACCGCGAAGGGGACCGTGACGGCGTTGCTGTCCTCCTGCCGGTGACGCTATGCGGACGCTGCGGCGG